TACTCTCTCCCTTCCTCTTTCTTCTGGTGTTTGACTGGATTATGAAGACCTCGACATCTGAGGGAAAACACGGAATACAATGGACAGCTCGGAATCAATTAGACGATTTGGACTTCGCAGATGACCTAGCCCTCTTATCGCATACACATGAACTAATGCAGATAAAGACAGCCAGTGTAGCAGCAGTCTCTGCATCAGTAGGCCTCAGCATACACAAAGAGAAAACCAAGGTCCTCAAATTCAAAGCGGAAAACAGCAATCCGATCACTCTTGATGGCGAAACTCTGGAAGATGTAGAGTCCTTCACATACCTAGGAAGCATCATCGATAAACAAGGAGGTTCAGATGCAGACGTGAAGACGAGGATTTGCAAAGCAAGGGTCGCATTTCTACAATTGAAGAACATATGGGACTCAAAACAACTTTCCGTCAACCAATATCAAAGTGAGAATCTTCAATACGAAAGTCAAGGCAGTTCTACTGAACGGAGCTGAAACTTGAAGAACTACAACAATCAGGAAAGTACAAGTATTTATAAATTGCTGTCTATGCAAGATACTCAACATCCATTGGCCGGATACCATCACCAATAGCCTTTTATGGGAGAGAACAAACCAACTTCCAGCTGAAGAAGAAATTAGGAAAAGACGATGGAAATGGATAGGACATGCACTACGCAAATCGTCAAACTGCATCACGAGGCAAGCCCTAACTTGGAATCCTGAAGGGAAGCGTAAAAGAGGAAGGTCAAAGAACACATTACTTCAGGAAATAGAAGTGAATATGAAAAGGATGAATAACAATTGGAAGGAGCTCGAAAGGATTGCTGAGGATAGGGTTGGATGGCGAGTGCTGGTGGTTGGCCTATGCTCCTTCACGAGGAGTCACAGGCGTAAGTAAGTAAGTAAGTACATACCCTTCAATGTTGCACAAAAGAAATTGATTATATATATAACCTTCACAACTTTTATTCTTCTTATTCAAAGAACTTCTAAATTTATGATGATTTGTGATTATTTCTCTACATTTTTTTTCCTCCTCTCCAAATTAATCTTTATCTTTATTATTGACATTTTTCTCCTGGTTTTACATCAAATGATATTTGGTAATAGGTTCATTCATATACATCCTTTTCTCTAATTTGCATTAGAATTGAATATTTGCTTATTGTCTGTTGGTTTTCTGTTTTCCTCTCCTCTCCTTTCCTCTCTCTCTATTTAACAACATATATAATGTTCCCCTGAGTTGTCACAACTCTAATCTTTTGGAGATTTTTTTTCATGTAAACAATAAATTTCAACTGTGTGCCTTTTTTTCAAGGATAAATTTCCATATTTTCAACTGATACATATATATTTTATGTTCAGCTTTGGTGTTCTCTATGTGTTTCCATTATTGACAATGTTCTACTTGTAAAGATGGTTTTTCTAATTTTTTTCTAATAAAGGCTGTATATACAATTAATAACTTGTCAACTATGTTTGATGAATACGTTCATATTGTATATTCCTTTCTAATCCCAAATATGTTTAGTTGTATATGAATAATACTTTATACAGTCTATTTAATTATAACATGATAGATTCAAAATTATCTCTTCTCATAAATCACATCCATTTGAACACTCAGATCATAAGCATCTTTAGACTTTGAATAATGAGTAAAAATTCTAGCTGAATCGATGAGTCGACTTAAGCTAAACCGCTATTGGAAACCTGGAAGCATTGAACGGCAGTTTCGTTATAGTATTGGACTCCTTGACAGTGCACATCCACGATCCCTCACCAAAGTGATTCGAACCCAGACCCTTCGGTCTCGTGCGCGAACGCTTAATCGCTAGACCACTGAACAGGCATCCAACTGTGTTGATGTGAGAAGCCCTGACCAGTGTAGTCCAATCCATGTCGGGTTCGAGTTTCTTTGGTGAGGGATCGGGGATGTGCACTGCCAAGGAGTCCAATACTATAACGAAACTGCCGTCCAATGCTTCCAGGTTTTCAATGATGGCGTTGCTTAAGTTGATTCATGAATCCAACTATTAAATTATTACAATCTCCGCAAGCTCCCATTCTGGGAATAAAATTCTAATAATGATTATGACTGAAATCTTTATTTGATCATTGTTTTCATTGACTGCTTAACACTGGAATTTCGAGATAGGAGAAACAGTAGAATTAATGAAAACCAAAAGGTATCCTAGGTAACCGTTTCATTTCAGTATGAGACACTGTATCAATTAGCCCCTAGAATCTTCACCAAGATTCTGTATCAACAACCTCCCAGGAAGAATATTTCCTTTTTCATCATAAGTTTACACTTTATTTTCGGTTTTCAAAGCAGTTAAGCATGGATAAATAAATTAGAATTATTTTGAAATAATTTCAATAATGAAAGGTTGATGATTCTTTGTCTTGTTTGTGACTGATTAGTTGAGTTGAAATACTGGATTATTGAAATTTTATTCCATTTGTAATCACATTTGAGTTCTCCTGTTTTTTGATGTTAAAGACTGAAATTGATCGGTTATATATGTTTATTCTAAGTGAATTATCTCGATATTTCTACCAAGTCATAAATGTTTCTAAGCACAGTTGGATAGTGTCTAACAGTAAAATCTAAGATGCTCGTTTCTTTTCATGTAAGATTCGTCAATGGCATGTACCTGCCACATCCTGGTGTTAATGTTCACTTTTAAATTTACTATAAATTCTTAATTTTGTCTGAAATATTTTATTGATTGTTCAATTCATCCAAATAACAAATAATTTATGTTACGCTAAATCTTTTCTGTTATTTTGATCTAATTCTTTTTACAGTCGTACAATTTAATTAACTACAAAGTATTTTGGTAAACTGTTTTAGTAAACATATAGCTTACATATTTCTAATTTTAATTAGTATAGTAAAACGATGATCTAGATCTTCCTTTTTTTATTCCATGAACTACATATAATTTAATATTGTCAATACAATGTTCTACGTTTTTTTTTTTATAAAGGAATGTTCTTTCCACTCTTCTTTTTTGATTTCATTCAATTAGCATTCAAAACTTTGTACTTCTATGGAGACTTGCAATCTTTACTGTTCATTTTCGTAGCTTTATGGACATGTATTAAAATATTTGAACTTGGATTTCCTAACTTTGTACTATATCCATACCTTATTGGTTATGGAACACTAATTGACTCATTGGTCAAAACATTTAGCTTTCAAACTATTGGTTCCAGGTTCATAATCTATCCTAAATATTTCAGTGTAGGGTACCGGATAGTATGAGTAACTTTTACACAAATAATATGTGGCTCAAAGACGAGTATTTGAACCTATTAACATTGTTTGATCACTGACTAATAGTCAACATTCAAGGACTTAGCAAAAATATCATTGGTCACGACTCAATGGGTTATCGATATAAATATCTCAATCATATAGGGGATCAGTATCTACCTGAACTACTCAATGATAACATTTTAAACTGTGGACTGGGAAAACCCGAGTTCAAAACTCAGGTCGCGGAAACATCCATTCTCTTAAGATTATAGATACTTTACTGATGAGTATCAACTAGCACGAAACCTAGGTTAACCATGATATCCTTCCGACTACATCTATTCACTTTGCCTATAAGTCTGTATTTGATCAATAGGTTACATTATTTATTACCTGCACAGCAGTCGAAACAATGCTTTATTATCATGCTGGTATAATACAAAAAAGAATCTTTTTCATTATGTTACAGTAGTTGTCTATAGTTAAATATCTTACTGCACATTAATGTTTCACATTTTTTCAGACAGAGTATTGTTAGAGTTTTGATGTTACATTTTATCATAGTCTTTGGTAAATATAGTAATATTTAGTTGAAGTTATATAAACCAAATTTACAACTCGTAAACAATGACTTTCAATGTATCAATAACAAGGTAAAAACATGATCTTCAATACAAAGTGACAATTATTGTTTATAAAGATAATGCTAATGAGGCTTCAGTCAGTCAGTCAGCTACAACGTAGGACCAGGCACATATATGTATCAGTCCACGTTGCCATACCTCATTAGCACAGCAAGATGAACACCGTATTCATAGAAGTAGTTAATTCAATGGTGGTAATATATAAAACAAAGATTGCATATAAGGATGTAGTACAGGAAGAAAGAATTAGTTCATAGAAAGATATGAAGCGATTTTAATCTCATAGTTTAAAATTGCTACCTTGACGTGGTGGTCCGGTTTGCCTATCGCGATGAACTAATCTAGCTATATTGGCTAGAACAATCATTCCTCAAGGTTCTACCATGCCAGGCAGGTCGGTTGAAGAACGATAAGATTAAAAGCAGCAAACCCAAGGTACGAAGGCGAAGTCGTACTGCTGACTGTACAGAGGTGTGACTGGAGTAAGGTGTTTCCTTCAGACAACCAGCATGACAGCGATGCTGCCTTCCCACAACGTGGGGTGGGGTTAGAAAGGGTCGACCCTAAAAAAATGCACACCTCGCCTTATCCCACGGATATCTGTCTCCGGCGGTAAGGTTTCAACAAGTACGGAGCTAACACAAAAATTACTCACTAAATGGTCGTGTGTAACTGACTTCAAGCAGTTGTCCCTTGGGCACTGAGGTCACGCTCTCAGGTCACTAAGACCACCTTTAATCCTATTTCCTTTTTAGGTACCTCTAGAAGAACCCTTCCATGGTGTGGGCAACCGGGAAGTGATTACCGCACTCATGACCACTGATAACGTTTATCTTCTGTCAAATTTTATTTTGTCAATACAAAAAATCTAAAACGTTTGTTTTTATATACACAGATGTATCCTGTTCAGTTGAACTTTATGTCATGAAGAATTGGTCTCTTTACTTCGTTACCCTTTTTTCTTTAAAGAAAAAAATTACTAATCTCATTTGTTTGATACTGAGTTTTATTTTATTCATAAATAATTGTACTTTCACGTTCTATGATGTGACTATTTATATCTGTTTTTTGTATGTATTTATCAAGTTCCCCTTAATGATGGAGTTTCTCTTCCAACAACGGTTAGTCTGAAATTGCCTGATAGTTCTTCTTCAAACTCTTCTTCATCAAATAATACATCTACATCATCATGTTCAAATCATATTTTGAAGTACAACAGAGAATTAACAGATGAATTAGATCTAAACAATCAGGTAAGACCTTCACTAACATTTCACTGTGACACTATTTGTCTATTTAAAAAAATGAGTTGAATAACTGTATCAAAATGAACAATCCTTGGTAGCATAGTGTATGCTCACTGAACGAAACAGCTGTCCAGTTCTCCTTTAATCTAGTGATATGTAAATCTATGTCAATCTATGTAAATTCATGAAACTGGTCAACCATGCTCTAAACATATAACCACTATTGATCGACTCCGAAATTTGAGTGGGAAATCACAACCAGTGGAGTTCAAACATATCATAAGTGAGGTATTCATCGCTGACTTAATTACATGATCGTCACAATATATCTAAAACTTAGTGGTATTGTAAATTTAAGCCATCAGATTTCGACTGATTGATCAAATTTTAACGCGCTCATTAAGAGACTTAAATGTGTTGACTTGACACTATAGAGAAGTTCGAAACTGAAATGAAGTGGTTCTTCAACTTATATTGATCTATGGTGACTACCACTTACATTGATTGATTACTGAATAATGTCAGATTTGTCTAATCCCTTAATGTTGGTCGAATTATGTGCAATGTGGCCGCCAGTCTAAGTGACTTAATGTCGGGTGCACTATGTTTGGTTGGAAATAATCGGAAGAATACCCTAATGCACCTAGGTTTCACATTAGTATGCACTTATCACCATGGCGTACCTACAATCTTGACGAAACTGATATACCGTGATGTATTCAAGATCAGATGACTCCGGTTTGACATTCCAGGACATCATCAGTAAGCTATTCAATCCCAAAGTAAAATCCTGTATTGCTAAGATATTTATAATTGGTTGAGCACTGAATAGTGATCAATGCCATGTTTATCCAATTACTAGTGCTGATCGAATCCCAAAGGAAGCATTATTTTTCTGTAAGATTCCTATTATAACTTACTGGCAAGTTCCAACCAACACGAGGTCTACATTCATGATTTCCTGTTGACTTCTACTATATAATATTAATAATACCTATAAATATTCTCGTAATCCGTGTTTAAGTTCTGGATAGTCCAACAAACATATGTTTAAATCAACTAACTAAACAATCTTTCCTAACTAATTTATACAGTCAATTACGCATTCATATTCCTCCTTCCTGCTTAATCTTAACAGTAGTATTGATTATTACTTCTTCTTTCTTTACTTTTAAACATGAAATAATTTACTTAGTTATTTGATTTGTGCTATTCATGTTTCTTTTGACCACCCATACACTTATTACGTTATTTTAATTTGTATTATAAAACTAACCAATATAAATGTGAGTTTTTATCTCGGTCTTTCAGTAAGCAAAATTGACCATACTTTATTGTTTATTTCCAAGAGGGGTTTTGTGGAGATTTTAGTAATTTTATAGTTGAATTCGTGAATTTCGTGGGGGTGAGATCGTGGGTGCGCACTGTTGAGGAGTTCCATACTAGGACAAAACGGTCGTCTAGTGCTTCCAGGTTTTCTATGGTAGTCTAGCTTCAATTGACTCATGGATTCAACTAGAAAATTATTTTAATGGTTGAGATCATGAGTCAAGTGAAGCTAGACCACCATGGAAAACCTGGAAACACTGGATGGCAGTTTCGTCTTACTGCGAGACTCCTCAGCAGTGTCGTTTACTAGTTCATCTATTTGTTTTATTTGTTTGTTTGTTTTTCTATGATTCCTAGAACATTGAACGTTTTGGTCTGATGCATAATTTAAATAACGAGAATAATAACAACATGAATGAACATCATCATCATTCCGCTTATAATACTTATATAAAACGAAGAAATTCCGAAAATTATGAACATTCAAAACTTTTGTATAATAATAATACTAATGCCATTCCATCTACCACTGGGAATCAGTTATTCAATGTATCTGAGACTATTGGAAATCATTGTCATATAACAATTAGTAAACGTCGGGATAATGCAACAATTACCAATTTACAGTCAATAAATAACAATAGTAATTGTACAAAAATAACATCTACTACACCATTTTCATCATCATTTCGTGATCCAAATACTATGAATCAATTATTAACAAGACTGAATTCTATAGTATGTTGAATCTTTTAATAATGATTGAATAAAGTGTTTATTTTTAATAAAATATTAAAACTACTTTTTTTTTTGTAATATACTTACATTTAAGCAGAGATGGATAGTGGCTATCAGTGGAATCCAGGACGTGCGTTTCGTCCTATTTGTGACTCGTCAGCCGGGTGTACCTGCATCAGAGTTGATGTTCATTCTGGGACTCGAACCCAGTACCGTTCGCTTCAAATGCCATCGCATTATCCACTTAGCTACTGAGTCCTGGTAGCCACCATCCATCTGACGAGTCCCGAATAGGAAGAAACGCGCATCCTGGATTCCACTGCTATCCACTATCCATCTTTGCTTAAAAAAGCTTGTGATTTAAGGCTATATCGATGCAATCCGCACAGGATCCACATATGCCAACAAGAGATTGATCAATTGCAGTCCAAAATAATGATAGGAAGATACAAGTAAAACAACACCAAGTGAATTTGTACTTACATTTATTTCACAATATTCAAATTGAAACTGATGATATCTGAAAGAATCAGCAGATAAACAAAAGTCTATTGATTTCAAGTTGTTCCGTAGATTTAAACCATTCTACCTTAATAGACATAGACTTGAACACTAATTTGTTAAATATCCATTTCTAGTTCATAGGACGGCCACACGACCATAACACTTCAGTTGTATTGTTTTAACAGGGATGTAATAGAAGAGAACGGAGATGGGTCAATTTTGAAGAAGGCTTTTTGTTCGGATTCGAAAAGGTAAGGTTTTCACCGTAGTTTGAGACTTACCAATTACGCTCATTCGAACTCTCATGACAGACTAAACTCCAGGGATACCCAAATACAACTAAGTCATTCTTAAATGTTCGACATTTTCCAACTTCACTACCGAAAAAACGAAGCATGGTCTTCATCCAGTGTTATCAACAGATGACCACTAGTTTACCTATATAACTGATTCCAAAAATCACGGATTTTTATAACAACTTCAGGAAATCACGATACCTACCAACAGATAGCACTGAAGGAAGATCGTGAATTGAATAGATTTGAAATATTTGAACCACTGGACACTCCGATTTGATGGTATCATTCTCGTCTTTTATCTTAAAGGTTTTAGATTCAGTCTACCATGTGATTGCGTGGGTATGCATATCTGTGGAGTTCAAGACTAAGGTTAGATAGCTGTTTGGTTCTCCGTAACTTCATTTGTTCCTCAAGTTGATGTCAGTCAATGATGGAGACTTTCAGGTGTATTGTAGCTCAAAGCAATAAAGCTACGGGATATTAGTATAAGGCGTTTGTTAGGATAATTTCTCTCTGGTTTTTAGTGGTTCCCTAACTAAAGTCAGACCATGATGCAAAATATGAGTCAACAAACATACTGCATACTAATTTTTATGTCTTCATTAGTGATTAATTTTGGTGGTTTTTTTTGGGATTCTATCACTAAACAACCTTAAATGGATTTCAACCATGTTATATGTAAGGCAGTTACCCAACAATGACATTGAAAGACAGTTGTATAATATCGTGGACTGATTGGAGCTAGAAATATAAACCATCGAACTCCAACCCAGTGATCCAAAGTTCGACCACTCATTACGAGATTTGGACTCCCTAGTTTCGGTCCTCGGTAGTATCATGGATGAACATTGCTGACAATCTTCATACTGGGACGAAACATCTGTTCAGTACTTCTTGATTTTCATCGGTGGTCTAACTGAGATCAATCTGCAATGTACGCCATATGATATTACCTAATTCCAACAATAACAACTCTTTTTTCTTGCCAAGGAGCACGACTCAACAATTATTTTACTTTGTTGGATCAAATGCATCAACGATGTAATTGAATGTATTTAGCCCAAAGTGTTAAAACTACCTTAGAGCTCAGTTTGATTACTTCCGAGTGAAATTTAATAGAAGCAACCGAGTAATTTTTTGCTCTCTTATTTGTTTTTTCTGTCTATAAGCCTACTACTCACTATTCTCGACCTGAACAATCCCGAAATATAATTCGTACACATTCATGTAGTCGTGGAAAATCTCGATATTACTCACATGGATCAGCATCTGTACCAGATCCAGCATCTCCTGTTCGTTCATGGTCATCTATATCTTCCGGAACTGAGCACAGTTTAACAAATCGAATTGTTTGCAAATCCCGTAAACAACTGAATGATCAAACTGATTCCGGTTTTATTGAAACCAGTTATTTAATGAAAACATTGAATACGAACAAGCCGTTGCCACAGAATTCCAGTTCAACATACCTGTAAGATTTTCTTTCTAAAGTCAAGTCTTTTTAAGATCAGTAGTAGATGATTTATCCATGATTCACACATGAGACATATCTATATTTTTCATCTATTTTAAGCTGTAGTGTGCATTAGTCATAAGTCGATCCCAGCTGAGGTACTACTAAAAATCATGCAGCACCGTACAGATATCTCTTCTTATTATGGGATTCATCGACAGTGCCCCCACCACGACCTCATCAGGAATCGGACCCAAGACTTCTTGAAGAACTCCATACCAGAACGTAATATCTCTCCTGTGTTCTCTGGATTTTAATCGTACCCCAACTCAGACCATGTTGTGATGAATGTAACCTATGGGATTCAGACTTATTTAAAACGTAAGTGACCATTCAATTTAGATTATCTGAAGGATTTACGAACCAATAGATTCTAGGTCCTACAATCCGGTTCATTGATGTCCTCAACATATAAATAATCATTAAAATACTCTGGAGTCATGTTTTATTGCTTCTCAACGCTTATTCAGTTGGTTGTATTTCATTATCTTTATTTTGCTATGTACGCATTATCGATATTTTTTCACAGAGGAAAGAAATCTGATCATTTCCACAATTCATATGATGATAATCGTACAACAAATTTATCGCAATATAATGAAGATATAAAATCTAAAAAATCAAATGAAATCGATTCACGAACATATACACGTCGAAAGCATTCTCGTTCTAATGATCAGAATGGTAAGTCTATAGGTTTTTGAATGTCACCACCTACTCTCTACTCAATGTACCTTCTTTAAACCGTGAAGTTACTCTAATTATCTTTAACCAACGTTAAATTGTATGACCAGTTCATTGTTGTCAGATTTCAAAGATTCTGTTATTTTTTAATAATAGCCATTTATTCAATAATATGTTTCGTTACAGCACGGAACTCTTTGTACACAATATCGAATTTTTATAACAATTTTCTCTGTATAGATTACATTACGAACTGATCTTGGCTAGACAACCATAAAAACAAAGAGCATATGACAGTTGTTTTGTCCTTTTATGAGACTGTCGGTAATTGTGCGACCTTCTGGTAGGGTCAGACCCAGGAACTTCACTTATTGAGGCGAACGCTTAACCTTTAAATCGTTGTCTAATTAAGGTTAGTTCATTGATGTGAATTGTAGGATTCAATCATCTCCGCAAACTTACTTACTTACTTACTTACGCCTGTTACTCCTCGTGAAGGAGCATAGGCCGCTCACCAGCATTCTCCATCCAACCCTGTCCTGGGCAATCCTTTCTAGCTCCGTCCAGTTGTAATTCATCGTTTTCATATCTGCTTCTATTATCCGACGCAATGTGTTCTTTGGCCTTCCTCTTTTTCGCTTCCCTTCAGGATTACAAGTTAGGGCTTGCCTCGTGATGCAGTTTGACGATTTACGTAATGTATGTCCTATCCATTTCCATCGTCTTTTCCTAATTTCTTCTTCAGCTAGAAGTTGGTTTGTTCTCTCCCACAGAAGTCTATTGCTGATGGTATCCGGCCAATGGATGTTGAGTATCTTGCGTAGACAGTTATTTATAAATACTTGTACTTTCTTGATTGTGGTTGTTGTAGTTCTTCAAGTTTCAGCTCCGTTCAGTAGAACTGCTTTGACATTCGTATTGAAGATTCTCACTTTGATATTGGTTGACGGAAAGTTGTTTTGAGTCCCATATATTCTTCAATTGTAGAAATGCGACCCTTGCTTTGCAAATCCTCGTCTTCACGTCTGCATCTGAACCTCCTTGTTCATCGACGATGCTTCCCAGGTATGTGAAGGATTCTACATCTTCCAGAGTTTCGCCATCAAGTGTGATTGGATTGCTGTTCTCCGCTTTGAATTTGAGGACCTTAGTTTTCCCTTTGTGTATGCTGAGGCCTACTGATGCAGAGACTGCTGCTACACTGGCTGTCTTCATCTGCATCTGTTCGTGTGTACGTGATAGGAGGGCTAGGTCATCTGCGAAGTCCAAATCGTCTAATTGATTCTGAGCTGTCCATTGTATTCCGTGTTTTCCTTCAGATGTTGAGGTCTTCATAATCCAGTCAAACACCAGAAGAAAGAGGAAGGGAGAGAGTAAACAGTCTTGTCTGACTCCGGTCTTTACTTGTAATGCATCTGTTAGCTGTCCTCCATGCACGACTTTGCATTGTAGTCCGTCGTATGAGTTCCGGATAATATTGACAATCTTCTCAGGAACTCCGCAGTGTCGAAAAAGTTTCCATAACGTCCTCCTATCCACACTGTCAAATGCCTTTTCATAATCAATGAAGTTGATGTACAGTGATGAGTTCCACTCAATTGATTGTTCGACGATGATCCGTAGTGTCGCAATTTGGTCTGTGCACGACCGATCCTTACGGAATCCAGCTTGTTGATCTCGAAGTTGGGCGTCTACTGCATCCTTCATCCGGTTCAGCAACAATCTGTTGAAGACTTTCCCTGGTATTGACAGTAGTGTTATGCCTCTGTAGTTTTCACATTTGCTCAGATCTCCTTTCTTTGGAATCTTGACGAGGTGTCCTTCTTTCCAGTCCATCGGCACTTGTTCCTCCTCCCAAATCTTTTTGAATAGAAGATAAAGCATGCTTGTGGTTGCTTCGATGTCTGATTTCAGTGCTTCAGCCGGTATGTTGTCGGGTCCCGCTGCTTTCCCGTTCTTGATTTGTCTGACGGCCATTCTAATTTCCTCCGTAGTTGGTGGATTGACATCTATAGGAAGATCTATGTGTGCTGCTTCGATGTTCGGTGGATTCATTGGAGCCGGTCTATTCAGGAGCTCTTCGAAGTATTCTACCCATCTGTTACGCTGTTGTTGAATTTCGGTGATTGGCTTGCCTTCTTTGTCTTTGACCGGCCTCTCTGGTTTACTGTATTTCCCTGATAGTTTCTTCGTTGTATCGTAAAGCTGTTTCATATTTCCTTCTCTAGCAGCTTTTTCTGCCGCCGTTGCTAGTTCTTCCACGTATTTCTTCTTGTCGGCTCTAATGCTCCTCTTCACTTGTTTGTTTGCTTCTATGTATTCAGCTTGTGCTTGGACTTTCTCTGCTCGTGTTCGGCTGTTGTTTATTGCTGCCTTCTTGTTCTTCCTTTTTTTGATCTTGTCCAGTGTTTCTGTAGAGATCCATTCCTTATGATGGTATTTCTTTAGACCGAGAACCTCTTGACACGTTGAAGTTAATGCTTCCTTGATGCCTTTCCAGTTGTCCTTCATAGTAGTTTCTTCTTCTTTCAGTAGATCTCGTAAGGCTTGGAACCTGTTGTTGAGAGCTATCTTGAATTCATTGAGTTTGACAGTATCTCGAAGGAAGGCTGTACTGAACCTTTGTATTGCTGTTTGTCCACTTGTCCAGTTCTTTTTTAGCTTCAGTTTCAAATTGGCTACAACTAGGTGGTGATCTGAAGCTACGTCAGCACCTCTCCTGGTTCTCACATCTTCCATTGTCCTTCGGAATTTTTTGTTGATGCAAATATGATCTATTTGGTTCTCTGTAGTGTGGTCCGGTGAGATCCATGTAGCCTTGTGTATACGCTTGTGTGGAAATATTGTGCCTCCTATGACCAATTTGTTGAATGCACATAGATTTGCAAATCTTTCTCCATTTTCGTTTCTTTCTCCCAGTCCATGTCGTCCCATAATATCTTCATATCCAGTGTTGTCTATTCCGACTTTGGCATTTAGATCTCCCATCAGAATAGTTAGGTCCTTTCTTGGGCATTTCTCAATGATTGACTGCAGCCGCTCGTAGAACTGATCTTTAATTTCGTCGTTGCTATCATTGGTGGGTGCATAACATTGGATAATATTCATTAAGATCCCCTCCTTCTTTGTTTTGAATGATGCTTTGGTGATTCTGGATCCATGAGATTCCCATCCTACAAGTGCATTTCGTGCTACTTTGGACAGCATAAGAGCGACTCCCTGAGTGTGTGGGGCATTGTCCTCTTCGTGACCGGAGTATAGCAGCATCTCTCCCGTAGCTAGCCTTTTCTGTCCAGTTTGGGTCCAGTGGGTTTCGCTGATTCCCAGTACTGCTAAGTTGTATCTCCTCATTTCCATTGATATTTGACTGGTCTTCCCGGTTTCCCACATTGTTCGAACGTTCCATGTACCTATAAAAATTTTTGCTCTGGTTGTTAGAAGGGGCATCGGCCTCGTGGCTTCCGAAGGAACTCGGCTTTCACCATGAAGCGTCATAATTCTTCTAAATGAAGACCTTCTAACTCCCAGGGCAGAGTTAAAATGGTTTGGATTATTTTTTCTGGTAAGCGTTTTTTTAGCGAGTTAGTTTTCTACGGGATGGGGACGCTAACCCCATGCCCAACCCTCCTCCTTTACCCGGGCTTGGGACCGGCAGCAACCCTATAAGAGCTACAGGCAAACGCTTTACTCAAATTCTTCAGTTATACATTTGAACTTCGAACGATCAAAAGAAAATAACAAATTATGTTTTCATAACATAGATCATTTGTTATTTATCTTTATATGTCATTCCCATTTCTTCTTTGGCTAATACCCAAGCTAGATAAATAAAACTGAGTTCTCTCAGTAAAACCATTCTTTAGGAGAGCAAGTTGTTCACTATTTAATCTTGTATACCTGCAAATAGTAGCGAAGTATCTATCGTAAATCGAAGTCAATAAATAACAAACGTCAGTCTTCCACGCAGGCATCAGTTGGTGCATAAAACTACAAACAGTTGAGTCTCGCAATTATAATGACTTTTAGCTTCAATTTTCCCCACCTACATATCACTGTTTGTGTCAGTCTGGATAAAAGTAAATGGGCATGAATAGTTATTGTTTCTTGAATTTGTTGGAAGGACTTTTGAAAACACGACGGAGCCTCCAGAAACTCTAAAGGAGCCGAAGAGTTTCCATCTAATCGGAGCCTAATGGAGCTTTCTAGAATACCAACTTGGCATGCTATGATTGAACAGCAGCATAACTTGCCTCCTTGAGAACAGGCTGAATTATAATGATGTTATAGCTAACGCTAATAATCATAAATACCCATATTTTTCTTTACATTTTTAATTCTTACCCAACAATCACTTCTTTTATCTTCTGATTTTGCGACTGTAGGGTTCTATACGTTTGAGTACCGTTAGTCGTATATCGTATTCTGCGTTAATCTAGTAGAGGACTTAACAGAGTTCACCTGTTGGTAATATAATATCCTAGACAGTCTAAGCTTTTTTTGTCTAGCTGCATTAATCAAGCGTACGTTTTATGAGGATAAGTAAATAGCTACCATTCTGATAAAATTACTTTCTTGACCATATTTCAAACGTAATTAGTGAAAATTCAATTATCGCTGATTATTAAAGACCATGTTATTCATTATTATCCACCGATGAATTTACATGAACATTTAGGACCTACCAAACGTGTATCATTTTAAAGTCAGTATAATAATATAAAGATAACTAAATGATATTCTTCTTATTAATATAAACAAATTCTTGGTCTAATTTGTCTCTCTACATCTAACAGTTTTTCTGGCTTCAATTATTTTATCTTTGTTCTTGTTTATACCTTTCTGCTTGAATTATTTTACCATTGCTTATAATAAAAGCTGAAATTCAACTCTGGAATGCAGGTACACTTAATTGATAAGTCCCAAATAGGACGAAACAATCGTCCTGAAATCCACTTATGGTCACCATCTATTTCTTCTTATAAAAGTTGAAATTTTTTCGGAAATTCTATAAAATCTATACAACTTATATTTATCGCCAGGACCGACCAAGAAGAAAGAAACGGAAACTTGTTGAAATACTTTGCGCTGAGAATTCTATATTGTACCAAAATTATAATATTGAATAAAGCTAATAATAATAATAATGACCTATAAATACATATAAGTAGTATTTTATCAAATAAAAAATATTCTTCTGTATGTATGTGTTATATCCCGATAAGAAAGATGAATAGTAATTCTTGGGATCCATTTATGGACCAATCGTATGAGTATATTTTTATCGTATAATTGTTATGCAACTAAACTGTTCATATTCATGTCGCTCTTATTATAAGCTTTAATTTGACATATACACTATTACTATACGATTTACCATTCTTGAGTTATGGCCTGTCTATTAATTGCTATCTCCCTCATTCATAGCCACTTTTGGCTAAATATTGTACAAATGTTGTTTCATATTTTATGGTACGTTGTGGTCGGTTTGATTGGTATATAAACTCAGTATGCTTGGAATAAATGATTCATATTGCAGAGGCTGAGATTGGTGCTCTGGACTTAACTGGATGGGCTAGAGAGGAAGCGAGACCAATCAGGACTCTAGGTTGCTCGCACGTGTTTCATGCGTCACTGGTTCGGTCGATAATTCGCTGCTCTCTAATAGGTGGTCACAAGTTATAACAGTATGTGTACATATACATATCAAAAATGTTAAATAAGTGTAAGAGATAACCATTCCTTTGAACTCCAAAAGTGTTTTAAAATATTGATTGATTTACTTTTTATTTGCACCGGCTTCAACTTGCCAATATAATTTGTATTGGCTTTGATCATCACCTTTTTCTTTCTTTCAACTAAGCTTTGTAATCCAAATTAATACGGAACATATAATTTAGATACATTTTAATTAGTGTTTATTAAGAAATCAATTGGTAACTCGAACTTTTTTGCAAAAAATATTTTATGGTTAACCTCAGTTTTATTCATTTAAATATTTGTGAGGAGAGTGTTATGTGCTTGTTTTGTTGTACTAGTTTTTTTCTTTAATTCCAAGGTTCTGCTCTGTCAACTAGAGTCCTCTGTTAGATATTCAAATATCTCATCCATGCCATTTATTGTGTTAGTAGGCTATTGTAATGTATCAATATTTTATTTACAAACTTTCCACCGTGTCAAATTTTTCCCGATGTACTGATGTACAACGTGACAATGTAGATTGATGCGTATTTATCCTGAATAACATATTGTCTTCGTATCTATTTATCTATCTTTCTTTTAAATTTTATATGTTAAACATGTTCTTCAAATCCGGTGATTGATATGTACTTTTACTTACACTCACGAGGTGTACACATAGGCAGATATGGTAGTGGCTAGCAGTGGAATCCAGGACGCTTATTTCTTCCTATATAGGACTCGTCAGCTAGGTGTACCTGGACCCCAGAGTTGATGTCCATCTTGGGACTCGAGCACAAACTAGTGGCTATATGGACTCAGTAGTTAAATGGATAACTTTCTTCCAACCGTCCCCAACACTATTCAGCATTGTGCGTCGTTTTAATCGGTGTTCAGGCATACATAACACGTGACCCAACCATCTTAGTCGATGAAGATTCACAACCTCATCAACTAATTTACCATCATTTCCCAATACCCTTCGTCTAACTTCACTATTACTTACCCGGTAATCGCAGCAGATGCGAGCAATATTTCTAAAGCATCTGTGGTCAAATACTAGTAGCTTACGTGTATCTCCTACTCTTAATGGCCACGTTTCGCAGCCGTAAAGTAGAACAGAACGAACTACCGCGCAGTATATTCATCCCTTAATTAATAGACGGATATCTCTCCTTCGCCATAGGTGACGTAATTTGGCAAAAACCAAACGAGATATGATAATATGAGATTGATCAATTACAATCCTAAACATCAATGGGAAGATTCAACACAACTAATACAAAAATGAATATTCTTTTCATATTTTCTTTCTTTCAAAAATTATACTTTTAAATTTATCTCTAGGCTTTTTTTGTTTTCATTACATTAGTTAATTGATTGAACCATATTAGATAAGTATAATTCGTCAATTAGTGTATAGTGATTTTCTATTTAACTCTAACTACTAAATGAATCAACCTTGTATACATGATTTTTGCATATTGCATATACTTACAAAGACATTTATTAATCTCTATGTCGTTTTTTTTGTAAATATATACAAACTATGAATGTAATTTAATGATTTGTAAACTTATTATGTTAAATTAATTCCTTAGAGACAGACATGCAAGTTGTTGTCTTTACTGATATAGATCTAATAGTAGCAGTAAAAAAAAATCGTACATAAATAATGTCCTAGAGTATAAGTAATCACTAAAAACACTACAATGTATAACATTTTTCTTGTTTGTAAAAAGGTTAACAAGCATGCTACTACCTAAGATTGTTCAATATAAAATGAATTTTGATTGAGATCATGAACCGATTGATATTAGATCACCTTTGGAAACCTGGAAGCACTAGACGGCCGTTTCGTCCTATTGTGGGACTCCTCAGCAGTGCGCATCCACAATCCCGCTCGCGGGGTTCGAACCCATGGCCTTTGGTCTCGCGCGCGAATGCTTAACCTACTGGACCACTGAGCCGGCATCCAATGGTGATAGTGTCTAACATCAACCAATCCACAGGTTCGAATCCCGCTAGTGGGATCGTGGATGCGCACTGCTGAAGAGTCCCACAATAAGACGAAGCGGCCGTCCAGTGCTTCCAGGTTTCCAAAGGTAATCTAACATCAATCGGTTCATGATCTCAATCAAAAACGTAATAATCTCCACAACCCCTATACTAATAAAATGAATTGTCAAGTCAGTTTAACTTCAACAGTCTTTAGATAGACGCATTGATATTCAAAGTGCAGTGTCGGATTCAAATCCCAATATGAAAATTAACATTGATATTCAGACAAATCTAACTGACAGACTTGGATTAATTTTAATTTGGTTATTTATTCTCTGAAGAAGTGACTTACACTAAGTCACGAAACGTCAGAAAATCTAATTTTCTACTCATTGGGATATTACAAATATATTATTTTTATTTATAACAATCTACCCAATGCTCAATTTATTCGAAATTATCAAATCAAACCTTGGTAATAATACCTAGAAATGGAATTATCTCGCTTGTTTTATTTTTAGCCATTGATATAAGCGTTTTATTAGAGTTTATATTACATTGATTTTGAAAACCAGAAAACACTGGATAGCTGTATAGTCTCAGTATGAAAATCCTCGAAAGTACATTCCCACGACCTTACTGGTAATTGAGTTAAAAACATTAAAGCTTTGTGGCGAGCCGTTTAACGGTGTCAAGAGTGAGATAGTCATCTACTCAGTCAGTCATTAACAACGTAGAACTTCGTACGTACGTAAATCAGTTCGAGTAGCTATGTCAAATTACATTAGCGCAGGGATGCAGTTGTCGATTCAAATCCCGTAGTATTAGTAGTAGTAGAAGCGGTAAGAGTATAAGCAGAAATCGGAAAGATTAGGGTTTGAAGATGTTATTCTAGGAGTATAATCCAGTGCAATAAATTTGGAAAGAGAAAAAAGTAAGGGACATGAAGAATTCAGAAGATTAGAATTTAGGAGAACACAAATAGTGGATGCACCTGCACCATTGCAAACGATTTTGAGCCATGTTGTTCAAGGTCTCTAACCATCGATTGCTGTTATCTCGCCGATCCCAACCAGGAAGTCTTTACCTACCAACATGACTCAGTCCACTTGTCAGTGACTTCATGGATTTGTGCCATGTTTTGGTCTGGCCGCCCCTAGTTTTCTTCCAACTTACTTCTAAACCATGAAACATCGCACGTCGAGGCAGTCGGTAGTTGGGTATACATAACACGTGTCTCAGCCATCTCAACTGATGAAGTTTCACTACTTCATCAGTTGATTTGCCATTTTTACCCGGTACCCATTTCTCAACAACTGCATTACTTACTCGGTGGCCCCAGGATATACGAGCAATGTTTCGAAGATATCTATGATCAAACACTAGTAACCTACGAATATCCTCTACTCTTACCGGCCATGTTTCACTGCCATAAAGTAGGACGGAACGAACTGCTGCGCAGTAAACACGTCCTTTGGTTGATAGATGAATATCTCGCCTACGCTATAAATGACGCAACTTGGCAAAAGCTAGTCGTACCTTCTGTATCCGTGCTGAGATTTCGTCACACACCAGACCACAAGGGCTGATGAGACTTCCCAGATAAGATAAGCGGTCGACACGCTCAACTACTTCACTCCCTATCATTAGTTCAGATGTCGATGCAACCCAATCCTGAAGCAACATTTTACATTTCGAGGGGGAGAATCGCATCCCGAACATGCTTGCATTGTTGCTTAGAGTGGTCAGAAGACTCTGCATTTTGTCGGCGTCTTCATCTACTCATGGCATTGGAAAATGAATACACATTAAGAACTGATTTAACTCAGCCAAATCTGAAGGTCAAGAACTCGCTAGTAGATCTGAAAGTACTGGTTTGAACTCCGGGTGGTAATGGCATGGAGTTGATGTGGACTGCTGAGGAGTCCTGTGCTAGAACTAAACATTTATTCAGTGTATTCAGGCTTTCAATAATTATCTAATTAGAATCAGTCCGTAATCCGAACTATGAGATTCAATAACCTTCACAAATCCTTTATTTTTATATTTATATTTCCCTATTATGAATAATTCGCTTCAATGACTGTAGAATTTTCCACCATCTTTATCTTAACTTTTTAGATCCACAGAAATATTTGACTACGTTAGATGCTGAATCTTATCAAACTTGGGTAGCTCGAATGTCCGAACTTGCTCAAGGTCTTAATAGTCTGGCTAAAGAACCGGTAAGTGTTATATATGATAATACGTCTTTAGAGTAATTTCATTGGGCTTGATTGATGCTCCAAGATTGTTACAATCTGCGACGTCTGTTTCAGTTGCACTCTTCTGAAATTCCTGTCTAACCAGCATTACGAGTGAGTGAACTGAAAAGTGATTAGGAAGCAGTAATTGACTAGTGGAGTAATTAAGTACACAAATCATTGGAATATATATAAACTCATCTTTCTGACCCAAGAAACGATCTTTAACCTCAAACCTTGACTAAGCTCTTTACCGACTTCCTCCAATAGCGTCCCTCGTTTATAATTTCTCTCCTGTCGTTTGATCTTGAGTGAGCATATGGGCTCAGAGATGCAATATTTCTTTACTCAGTCGATCTCTCAAAGATCTTATTTGAAATAATCAATTCGTTGAGTAAACTCATCGTCCTGAATATCTCTTCCTTCAGGATTGAAGCCTTTACACCAATAGGTTACTGAATGTTTATTATATCCACTTCCATTATTGATCAGTAAAAAATAGCACGAAACCTACATTATAGACTTTCTGTCAATCGTTTTCAACCATTATAACAATAGAATAAACCCGTTACATATTAATGACTTTTTCAACTAATAACACGCATCACCTAGATTGATCAGTAACGCTGATACTCAAAAATCACTATTGGTCCAAAAATCCATCCAATTATTCACTACTCTATTGAGTTCAAATATCAACTAATTGTTTAGCAACTATCATCTTTATTCATAAAGATTTGGATCATCCAGTTTGTTGATATTTTACTTTAACAAAATGGGACTTAATCAAATTTCAGTTCAGAAAACATCAAAAACAGGATGCTTCAAATCCTTACAAATAAATAATTTTCCAATTTCTATACAACATTTAATTGATGTTGAAATCATGAGTCAATTGAAGCTAGACCACCATGGAAAACCTGGAAGCACTGGACGGCCGTTTCGTCCTAGTATGGGACTCCTCAGCAGTCCAGTGCTTCCAGGTTTTCCATAGTGATCTAGCTCCAACTGACTCATGATTTCAATCTGTGAAATTTCTAAAAATCTCCACAAAACCCATTATGATTTAATTGATGTGTCTAGAAAAATAAGAAAAAATTTTCTTCAATATAAAATACAGTCATATATTCATTTATGTTCTCTTGTCAATCATAGCTATTTCAATCCGATGGAAGTTGTAGTGAAGAGAATAAAAACGAATTTGAACCAATAAACAGATTGTATCCAGATGTTAGAACAAGTAATTTACCATTAATAAATGATAATACACAAACTATACCTACATTACCGGATAGTACTACAGATCCAGGTCTATCTGAAATTGTTGAATGTTCAGCTTTCACTACACCATTACCTCATCATACATTAGAAACAATGTTGTCAGTTACTCCGGAAAATTTATCAAATTTTCAAAAATTTTCTCAAACTATTTTAAATCGTAATAATACTAAGAAAGTATATCTTCCTATTATACAAAATGGTACAGATGAAAAATTTACTGATTTTATTCTTTCATCTCAATCATTCCAATTAAATCCAAATTTTGATCCGGATAGTTCTGACCCAAATGAATCTGCTGTGAGTGATGCATTTTTTAAAACCTTTACCTTAAATTTATTTCAATGGTTAAGATCATGAGTCAGTTGAACCTAGACCACCATGAAAAACCTAGAAGCACTGGACGGCCGTTTCTTCCTATTGTGGGACTCCTTAGGAGTGCGCATCCACGACCTCTCCCCCTGCGAGATTCGGACCCAGGATCTACTGGTTTCGCGTGCGAGCACTTAACCACTAGACCACTGAGCCGGCCGGTATCCAACGGTGTTAATGTCTAATTTCAAATAATCCACGAAATTAAGAGACACATCCACCGTTGTCATTAGTGAGTTACTACCTCACAACTGATCCGACTGAACTCCAGTGGTCACTGCTTCTCACTAGAACTCCAGGACATCCCTCTTGAAGCCAGTCACTAGTCAGCATATGTTGATTATTATCAGAAGGGGTTTTGTGGAGATTGTAGTAATTTAATAGTTGAGATCATGAGCTAATTGAAGCTCAGTGGTCTAGTGGTTAAGTGCTCGCACGCGAAACTAGTAGGTCCTGGGTTCGAATCTCGCAGAGGGCAAGGTCGTGGATGCGCACTGCTGAGGAGTCCCACGATAGGACGAAACGACCGTCTAGTGCTTCTAGGCTTTCCATGGCGGTCTAGCTTCAGTTGACTCATGATCTTAACGGTTGTAATTACTATAATAATATCGACAAAACCCATCTGATATTAAGTTTATTTATTTGGCTTTATGAGGAAAATATGATTTGCCGATGAACCTGACTGATTGAAAAGTGACCTTGGGAAAATTATGAAATTATTAACCAATCAAAATGCAGACATCATAAATGATCAACCTGTTCTTTTAAAAAAAGTCAAAAAAACAGCATTAGGAGCCTATGTTTAAGATTATCTTGAAAAGCTTGAAAATTCATGTTAAGATGTCATAGACATTTTAATTCTACTTGTTTTCTATTATTGTTTTTCTGTATACGACGAATCACTTTCTTGATATCATTTTAAGAATGGCTTGAGCTTGTCTTCATTCTTATAGTCTTTCTAATGTTTATCAGATTTTAGTGTCCTAGTAACTAGATATTGGTAAGATTTCACTAGCTCATATATAATGTACAAGTTGTTCATTATCATATTTTTAATTCGATGCAAAAATCTAAGATCCTCTACTTTAAATCTGATTGGTTTATCAGCGAAGTATACTTTCACTGTTCTCGTTGATCTAAAGAATAGTGTATTTCCTTGATGTTCTTCGTATCTATTAACTCCGCCTGAAACACCTCACAGATTCATGCCAAGTCCAGACTGGTTTCAGACAAGGCTGTCTACTCTTCCCCTTCTTCTTTCTTCTGTGGGTCAACTGGATTATGAGGACCTCGGCATCTAAGGGAAAGCACAGAATACAATGCACAGCTTGGATGCAGAGAAACCATTCCGATTCTTCAAATGATCTCACTCTTCTATCACACAAACAACAACAAATGTAGGTGAACACACAAATGTAGAAACGCACACAGCAGCACTAGCCTCAACATACACAAGAGAAAATGCAAGATCCTAATATGTAACAGTGTCACCACCATTCAACCAAATCACACTTAATGGAAAAACTGTGGAACAAGTGGACACTTTCACGAATGTGGGAATCATTATTGATAAACGAGGAGAATCGGATGCAGATGTGAATACATGGATCGACAAAACAAGGGATGTATTCCTACAGTTGAAGAACATCTGTAACTCAAAATAACTGTCAGTCAATCAACAACCTAGTCACAGTTTCAATATAAAGTTGAGATGTTGATATTGTATGGAGTGAGAACTTCCAGAACTACTACGACCTTTATCATTAGAAAAGTATAGATATTTATTAATGGTTGTTTATGCGAGACACTCGTTATTTGTATTTTGGATTCAGTCTGCAGCAACATAGTTTGTCAGAGAACAAAGCAGTTTGAAAGTGAAGAGGAGAATAGGGAAAGACGATGTAGGTGAATGGGTCAGAATACACATTGTGGAAATCATGAAACTGCATCAGGAAGCAAGTCTTAACTTGTAATCCTTAAGGCAGACCGTGTAACAGATTGGTCATGGGATTGGAGGCAGACATCAATTGTATGAATCGTGATTTTGATCAGGTGGAGAGGAAATCTCAGAATAGAGTTAGTTGGAAATTGCTTTTCGCCATCTTATACTCTATCAGATGTAACAGGCTAATTTACTTACTTTTGTTATCTATTTTCCGGTAGAGTGAAATTTTCGTCAAGTTCTGTTAGACTAAACGTAAACAACTTAAGTATTTATTAAACTTTTGATTCTGCTCTTTAGAATGCTAGTTTCATAGTTCCAGATTTAACTGCAAGCGTGGTCTAAAAATTTTCAAAATCTTATTTCTACTGGATAATACATTTCTCGTTAACATTAGAACTCAAAATGTAAATTGTTTTTGTTTTTGTATTCAAATTACCAATTTCTTTTGTAAATCCATAGTGGTTGTACACACTGTGTATGTATTTAGTTCTGGTAAAAATATTTTATCAACTTGTAGTTTCCTCTTGTCTCATCTCTTTCATCATTCTTCCATTTACAGTTTTGTGCACTGTTTTATTACTTAATTACTTACTTACGCCTGTTACTCCCAATCAAGGATAGGCCGCCAACCTGCATTCTCCAACCCGCTCTGTCCTGGGCCTTCCTTTCCAGTTTTATCCAATTTTTGTTCATTTTTATCATGTCTGTCTGTCTCCATTTCTCGGCGTAATGTGTTCTTTGGTCTTTCTCTTCTCCTCTGACCTTGAGGATTCCGATTGAGGGCTTGCCTTGTGACACATTTGGGTGATTTCCTCAATGTGTGTCCTATCCACTTCCATCTCTTATTCCTAATTTCTTCCTCCGTTGAGATCTGGTTTGTTATCTTCCACAGTAGGTTGTTGTTTATAGTGTCTGGTCAACGGGTCCGAAGTATTTTGCGTAGACAACTATTAATAAACACTTGTATCTTCTGGATGATGGCTTTCGTAGTTCTCCAAGTTTCCACCCCATACAGTAGAACTGTCTTGACATTTGTATTGAAAATTCTGACTTTGGTGTTGGTTGACAGACAGTTGTTTTGAGTTCCAGATGTTCTTCAGTTGTAGATATGCTGCGCCTTCTCACCTGCATCAGATCCACCCTGCTCATCAACATTGCTGCCCAAATATGTAAAAGTTTTTACATCTTCCAAATCTTCTCCGTTAAGTGTGATTCGATTGTTGCGTGTTGTGTTGTATTGGAGAATCTTGCATTTCCCTTTTTGTATGTTGAGACCTATTGCTGTTGAGGCTGCTGCTACACTGGTCTTCTTCTTCTTCATTTGTTGTTGTATGTGCGATAGAAGAGCCAGATCATCTACAAAGTCTAGATGTTCATTGTATCCCGTACTTCCCCCGAGTTGTTGACGTCTTCATGATCCAGTCGATCACCAGGAGAAAGAGAAAGGTTGAGAGTAAGCAACCTTCCCTTACACCGGTCTTTACCTCGAACGAGTCTGTCAATTGTCCTCCATGCACGAATTTGCAGTTTAATCCATCATAGGAATTCCGTATGGTATTAACTATCTCCTGAGTCATGCCGTAGTGTCGAAGAAGCTTCCATAGCGTTGTTCTGTGCACACTATCAAAAGCTTTCTCGTAGTTAATGGAGTTGATGTAGAGTGATGAATTCCATTCAATTGATTGTTCCACAATGATCCGGTAATGTTTTATTATCAGAGCTTATATTACGTACATGCAGTATGCCAACATTTCGGATTTCTGGCTTAAACCAAGTAAATGAGACTATCTGTATCCTTTTATTCTTCGGCTGGCTAACTAAAATAATAACGACGAGTGTAATAATAGAAGTTGTGGTGATTATGACAACAGTAGAATTGGAAATATATATAACTTGGTCGTTTATGCGTCAGTTACAAAGTTTAGAATCTATGAACTAAGTATTTGGCACTAAAACACAAATCACAGTAAAAATGTATTGTAAGTCTGTGATCAGAGTTTACTTCTCTGAATAATTTAGCGTAATGGGAATTCATCATAATCGATATTGGTTTCTTTGTAATCTTATACTATACTAGTAACTTTGGACGAATCAGTCAGAATGAAAATGACACCTTGTTGATGTTTTTCACGAAATAGGGAGAGCTACGATAAATAGCTTCTATGTCATTGTAAACCAAGCGAAATTGGCAATATTTGGTCCTTAGAATGATTGGAAATAATAAAGAAATATCTGTTATGCAATCAAAAAGTAAATAGTGCACTATGTTTAAGAACCTTCTCTGAATGCAAATTATGTGTTCAGGTACTTGATTTGATTCAGTGAATAATTGGTGTTTGCGTAGCTAGATAGTATTATAACTTTTGATAATAAATCTCAGCTTTATGTTTCCTAACACAATGGTGTCACCGGATCATTGTATTACAATTGATGTCATTTCTCAATGAAAACCCTAACCCTAATTCGTAATCCCAACTCATAACTCCAGCTTAACATCGAATGCTTAACCCTGACCTTTGGCATTATAGCTAATATCAGTTAGTGACAAAGAAAAATCCCTAGTTTGTAGACCTAACTCACAACGCTAACCCAACTGTTAATATATAGTTTCAATGTTATTCCTTCACTGTAAAGAATAATTCAACATGTTTGGGTTAATTAAAGCGATTATTCTAGTGTAATTTTATGGGGTTTTTCATTGTTAATTAATTGATTTTCACTACCTTCTCGTGGAGGGGGTGTTTTTTTAAGAAATTGAAAGGACGAAAAGCGAATGCCCAGCGCTTCAATCGGGCTGGTGGACACGAAGAGTCTGTGGGGCCTTTGAATTTCGCCGTCATTTAGATCGGACCATGTTGTCGAAACGGCTCTCCACTTTAGTGGCCCGGGTTCTGATTCCAAAGAGATTGTAATGATGATTGTTGTTGAAATATATATGTCGCCTATCCTCGTATATAATCATCGACTTAAATCGCGTTATTCGATAACGGAATTAAATAAGTCGAATAACGAGAATGAACTTGTGAATACATATATTTTGTATATAAAGCGAATGGGATAGAACGAAGCAAAACGACGCGCGGTGGAGATGGCTGGTAAGCCAACTCCCATTTAACCAAGCGTTAATCAATATTTATAGTTACACAAAAGTAAGTTACAGACATGTGATGAGTAATGGGATAAGAAATGTACACACATCTACGCGCTCATATAAAAACAGCCAAGATTGATAAGCGAATGAATAACAAGGTCAGAATGTGACTCAAGTGGAATGAATAGAATGGGCTGTCCGAAAGCTAGAATAAGGTATATGGGCTTAACATAATAACCGACACTACAAGTTCACCTAGGGGAGTTGGAAAACCCTCATTCCAAACCAATGGTGTAAATGAGCTCCAGTATCCTGAAGGAACAAATGGCGTATGAACCAATTATTGGTCACTGGCTACCACGGGACTGCATCTCCTAACGTTGCTCCACCGCCTTATAGATTAGAACTTTAGGTAGAAGGCTCAGGGTGTGGCCCTCTAAGAAAACCACCTGCTTCGGTTTGGGCACCCATGCAGTATCCCCTCCCTCACACAAATCGAATGATGAAGTGTGGCGTATATCTATTTGGTGCCTTCTTGTGTCACTGTTTATGTGTTTAAATAAATAATTCAGAACTGAACACTGTCTCTTGATTGGTTGATAAGTCGATCATGGTCATCTGGTACCAATTTCCTCATAAGATGTATTTGGCGATTAATAATCTAGATCTTTTCTTTAAATGAATTTACTTGAAATTTTTTTTCTTTAAAATATAGATTTACTATTCACTCATGGTCGATACAATCCGGTATCTGTCTATAAAACTACGTCAATTCTCCGATAAATTAGCCTATCGATTAAGGTAATAGTAATTAATTCATAAAAATAATTCAGATTATATATGTGTAAATAAGTAAATATGTTAGTTGATTGATGGATTATTTGTTTGTTTGTTTCTCATCTCAACATATTGATCAGTATATTTCTTTATTGAATAGTGATTTAGTTATTACTCACATAATCTCCTAGCATTCAATCATCCGAATAAGACAAAAGTGGTAGCTGTACAAATAACTCCATAATATGATCTATTTTATCGAATGATAACGCCTTAAAAATGTTTTCCATGTGTTTGTAAGCAAACCAAGTGGAATCGAATTCATGTATATACAGTCAAAAATCACTTATCAAATATAGATTTATTTACTCAGCTTTTAGTCGTGAGTTGTGTCTGGAGGTTAAACATATTACCTTATTGCTTATTTAAGCCATAATGGGTAAACCGAATTTCAGATTTGCTAGTTATTGATTAAAAGTTGAATTCTTGAACCAATAACCCAACACTCAAATTAGCATATTATTAATATATGCTAATAATTCATATTAAGATGTTCGTTAAAGTTCTTCTATATTTGCATTTGACTTATTATTGGGCTGTAATACATGCAACACAATATTCTCGACTCTATCGCATGTGATATTGTGGATATTTACTTCTGAGAAGTCTCATACTATCGAGTGCTTGCTGGTTTTTAATAGTTATATAGGTAAAATCAGTCCGTGATAGGAAACTAAAAAACTTACACTTGTCGTGAAATCTTATTGTAGAATGTTTTCAGCTCTCTTAACCTTCACTGTTTTAATGATTTACAATTCCATTTAAGAGAATATATTTTTTTAGTTTTACTCCGGCTTCTTCAATTGGTACGATGAGATAAGTTCTTTTTCACACACACACACACACACACACACACACACACTCATAACATCTTTGTATGGATTTCAAGCATATTATTGACAAATAAAACTTATGTGACAGATAATTTATTGAATTCATCTTATAAATAAGACTAATATTGTGGAACGATGTTAGAACTCAATATAAATGTCTATCGATTCATACTTGGTTTCAGCATATCAGTTGGAAGAGTGAAAATAATCATATCCAATAATTATGAAGAAGTGGAAAAATAAGCATGGAAAACAGGATAAAATAACTTGTGGGAACGTATTAACTAATAGTACTAATAGTAATGGTGTGATGTTCAATAACTAGAGTAAAATTTACTATAAATATTTGTTTCACTATGCTTAAGTTAGAGAGCGTTGAACGTTTTCGAGCAATAATTAAAAATCTCATACTGTGTTAAAGCAGTTACTAGTTACAATGGATTTAATCTCTGAGTGGTGACCAATATTATGTAAGTTAAGTCCTACTAAGTTCTAATACAATTCACGTGACTCGATATCGTGTGCACCACATTGAGATGTAAGATGGTAATAATCCTACAGGGTATCAATCGTGATCCGGATGGCTCAGTGGTAATATCTCTGACTGTGAAACTGAGAGCATCTGTCCCCTCAAGATTATAGGTATGACCTGCTGATGAATACCAACTAACGCGAAACCTATGTCCAAGGTTTCCTGTAGGCTACCTCCAATTATGCCCCAATTTTAGTTATTATTTATTTACCAATAAAATAATACATTATAGTAGTAGTGTTGTACTTTGAAAATTCACCATTTGGTCGAGAGAGTATCTAGCATTACTCTCACGCTTTGGAAATTTGTCTATTCTATTTTTGCCCTGAACATTGATTGACAAAAATAAGTTTGGATTTACATAAAAATTAGGTACGCTGAGGATTTATGTATCGAACATTGACTAAGTGACTAAACAACTCGAATCTGATCTATTAGGTTTCAATATGGAATCTTGCTTTTTGTCTGTTCAAATTTGGATGGCTAAATAACGTCGTTAGCCTGGACGCACGATAATTGGACCTCAATGTTGAAAACACGGATTTGTAGTTAATTACCCTGTCTACTAAGATTAAAACGTTTTATTGAGTAGTCTGTGTCAATTATTCGCTGTTGAAATTATTATTCGCCATGAACTAATACCAATTGAGGAAGCATTGTAAGCCAGGAAGTGCTAGACATTTATCCAACCTTAGACTGAGACTCCACAGTAGGTATCCATAACCTTTCGTCCAATAATGATCTTATACACACCCATAAAAAACTTTAAGATTACATCTCAAAGTTTCATTGTAATGAGAAATTGTGACTGGCTAATCAGGTCGAGAGTAAGGAAGCTATTTACGAATTCCATTGAATGATTATTGCAATAAAAACACGAATTGACTGAAATCTGAATTGTGAACTATGCGATTTCAAACCACGCTTCTTACGAAGTCTGAAAGTTCAGGATTCGATCCATGCTTGTTTTATTTATGCGCAATCCTAAAAAATAGTACCATACTCTGGTGAAACATCTGTTCATTGCTCTTTGGTTCTTTATATTGTTTCCCCTCACAAATGATATATTAATCCGTGATGTAAGCCCATACTTAAATTGAAATTTACACACCAAGTAGTCATTTTTATTTATTCATATTAAATTGATAATGTAGTGTATTTTATTTGGTTACAATTTTCCTTTGACCTCTTTTCCTATTTTTTTTTATTAAAGTTCATAATCAACAACAAACTAACGCGAGTGGAAATAATACACTGAATTAAGTAGTCGTTTTGTATCTACAAACAGAATCGAGATGATGTACAATCATCAACAAAATATGCTTACATGATACATTTGAAAATATGAAAGCAGTTAATCAACAACTTCAAGGTGAATAAACTATTTTTTTGGTTTCATTCCTGTTCACGTTAAAAGCTAATCGTGTCGGGTAGAAACAGGTGTCTACCTCAGACAGGTAAGATGGTCGCGCAAGTTGCGTGGATTGGTTGAGGTAGACATTAACATCATTAGATGCCGGGTCGTGGTCTATTGGGTTAGGAGCCTGGTGCTGAGGCCAATCGGTATGGGGTTCGAATCTCGCGGGGTGCGGGATTGGGATGCGCCACTGCTGAGGAGTCCCAGGGTGGGCGAAAGGCCGTCCAGTGCCTCCAGGTTTTCCATGGTGGTCCAGCTTCAATTGACTCATGGTTTCAATCAAAAAAAAATTTTGTGTATGTAAGAAGATTAAATGACTTCAT